GTTAAGATTAAATGTGAGCACACAACATAAAAGACAAGAAAAAGGGGGTTACGAACAAAATACCCCTTTTATATGCCCTATTTTTATCTTATCATTTTTGTCAAAGTTAGTTCCACATTCAAATTTAATAATTTAATACGACCTCATTTTTTTCCAAAATCTGAAGAAAGAGACTACCAAAGTCAATAACAAGGGGAGATGACGATTTAAGCAGCGAAGATGACGATGTCAGAATTGGTGTCGGTGGCGGTGGCAATATCTAATTGAGGCCAGAGATCCAGTTGTTGCAGATCTGCGACCGTGATAGCGGGATGTGGGAATAACAATCGGGACAAAAGCACGATATTGTCACACTGAGATGGTGGTGGTGGCGGTGGCGGTGGCGGTGGCACTTGCCGGGCGGGCTCTGGAGGCGGGTTTTTTCTAGGGATGGCAATGGGTACGGATTTGCCAGGTCTTAGACCCGGACCCAACCCGTTTGGGGCGGGTCTGGGTAAGTTAAATGGTTTTGGGTCGGGTAATGTGTTTAAGTTTCTAGAACCGGATGGTTCGGAGTTGGGTTACGGGTCTTATTGGAACCGACCGAGAACCGACACCCATAAATATATTATATTTTATAATTAATCTATATATATAAATTAATTTATGATTTCATTTATCAAGCTTTCAATTTTCATCGTGTATATTCCATTTTTCACCATTTAATTTTTTTGAATCTCATTTCTCGTAAGTAAAATCTATCACTTGTCGACCACCGCCAGCTATCTTGCCTTTTAAGCTTTACTTATCGTAGAAGTTATATATAATTAATTATAAAATTTTATTATTCACTTTATATCACTCGTAGAAGTATTTTAAAATATTATATTTTAATTTTTAGATTATTCTGTTAAAATAGAAGCAAAATATTATGATAGTTAAAAAATAATAAACTTTTTTTTATGTTAACGGGTCTAGCGGGTTTGGCCGGTCAGGACCGTTTAATTCGGGTATAGGTTGGGGGTGTTTGAGTTCTAAACTGAACCGGGTTGGGGTGGGTCTGGATTTATATATTTTTTGCGGATCAGTTCTCGGGTTTAGGCAAACCCAACCCAGAACCGACCCGTTGCCATCCCTAGTTTTTTCGTGCTATTAATTGAGTAGGGTCTCGATGGGTTTAATTTGAACGAAAAAATAGTTTAGTATTATTATTAGTTTAGAAAACAAAAAACATTTTTGAATTAAATTCAAATTTTTTGCTCAAGTTTGAAATCATTGCTTGGACTTTCACGTTTATAAAATGGGATTATTTTGTAGATCTCCTCATTTCTAACTTATATAAAACTAACTACCAAGTGGATTATGGTGGCTATGGTGGGTGGTGGTCGGAGAGAATTACAGGTCTGCAAATTGCAGCGGTGATACAGGGCTCATGATGGTTGAGAGCCGTAGCGGTTGTCGTATATTAGAGCGGATGGTTATGGTGGTAGATGGCCATAGGAGAAGGTGGTGTGAGGTGGTTGCATATAGGCCTCTTTGCTGGTGCTAGGGTTTCGGTTGGCGGCTAGGGTTTGGTGGATTGAAGTTGGCGACGACGGCTGTGAATTTGTTGATGGCTAGGGTTCGACGATGGCTGAGAGTTGTTTTGCGGCTAGGGTTTGGAACAGTATACCGTAGTAAACTATAGTACACCGTATTATGTTATTGCATAAGTATGCTATTGTAACCCGTAGTATGCTACAGTACACTGTAGTATACTATAGTCTAGTACGGTACTATTAACAACAAATAAAATCAAATTGTTTTTTTTTAAATATGTAAATTGCATTTAAAATAAAAAATATTTTTTTCGTAATCTTCAATATTATGAAGAGAATTTTTTTTTTAATTGTGTAAAAATTACTAAAATGGAGAAATATAAAGAAAAAGAAAATTAAACGTGTTTTGTATAAAAAAAATTAAAAATATTGGTTGGTAAAATAAAAATATATTTAATGCACGAGGGAATTTTTGCAATGAATTTTATGAAGGATGTGTACCAAATGTTTAATTAAGGTTGTCATTTAGTTCTAATAAGGTTTGTCACTAGGGACCTATATCTTAAGGCCCTTTTTTTGTTTTTTTTTATTCACTTCCCTTTAAATAAAATATTTTTTAGTTATGCTATTCCATAAATGCCAATTACTTTTGTATGACTTTTACTATTAATAATACAATTATTATGATTTTATTAGTTTTCTAGTAAAGAATAATGAATATCCTTTCTTTTCTTCATTGAATATTTGAATTTTATATAAATATTATTTTTTTGGAGTTTATTCTATTTTACAATTAATTTATAAAATATTTAAAAATTAATTTCAAGTTTGATGGATTAGTTTCTTTCTCACTACTATTGAGGTGTATATAGTAATAACACAAATGTGATAAAATGTTAAAAATAATTAAGATAATGTGATATTTAAATTTAAATTAATAAGAGAATTATATTAATTAAGATAAATATAATACATATTTTATTATATTAAAATACATGTACATTCAGG